AGGAATGCCAGGAAAACCATCGTCACCTTTCTCTCCTTTTGTCTGAGTGATAAATACAATCTTATGCATAAATGTAAAAATTATCATTACTTTACAACGTGTTATGAAGCTAAACTTTATATGATACAAATAATTATCGAATATAATTATAATTATAACATAGATTATTCATAAGTTTCATTAAAAGTTTTATTAAAAATATTAAATTATTGATAATTGAATTGAATGAAGATTTATTATAGAGATGAAATTTAAATGAACACACTAAAATATCAATTTTTTTATTATAATATACTCTGTATAAATGAGACGTTTAATTTTTACACTTTAAGCACTAAGTCGGGAGAAAATCATAAATGAATAGAGCGAATAATACGAAATAGTAAACAAAATAAGCTTTTAGTATTATCCCCGTACGAGATATATCTAAGCTTTTATGACGCAATATCTGGCATTTGTCTGGACACACATTATTCACCTCGAATGTTTCGTATAGATAAATTTGAATAAATTCATTTCTTATGCACGTTTTTGTCTTAATTATTAGTTACTTTATAAATCACAAGTGAGCAGTGTAGGAAGTAGATGATTCTGATGTAATAAAGGAAGAGGAGCAATTTTTTAAAATTTAGATAAAAACATTAAATACTATTTCCATGCTAAGCTGAACTTTCATCTTTCAACTAAAATAATATTTTACATCTCTATATATTATAGAATCCGAAGCCAACTTTGACAACATATTATGATATAATTATAAAGTCCCCATTTAATAATCAATGTGAATTTCTGAAGACGAAAAATAGTAAAATATCCTGTAGCTGCTAATGCAATAAACGTATGACTTTATTAAAAAATTAATTTCACAGAGACGATGCTTTATTTGACGATCCAAGATATAATTACAGGCGCGATTATAATTACAGAATACTGAGTTGCAAAGAGCAAAGGCAATTCAAACCAATGTAATTACCACTTTTTTAATATATTGATGGAACATCCGAATGCATTCCTTCGTATTGTTAAAACGCGAAAAATGTAATCATCGTTGTAAAGGAAACGATGTTTAATCATAATGTTAAATGAAAGTTAATAATAAAAGTTGTGACAGAGCAAAATGTAAAGAAAAATATATATAGAAAAATTGTATATAAAATTTTGTACGGAATTGGAGCATTTCCCAAGACCTTTGGCTCTTGGAAATTTATAAGCCTTCTAGTTCTCGAATTTTGTAAACATTTGTTTCTCGGAATTCTCCAACCCTACAAAGCTTTACTTTCCCGGAATTCTCGAAACTTGTAAAGCTTTATTCTCGAATGTCCTGCAATGTTTATCTAGTATCCGCATAGCAACACATATCCATTGTTGCCAGTTAACTAAGCTACCACGTAGGTATATAAAGCAAGCACGCGTCGAAGCTCCCCCCACCACCGCTCTTTCTCTTAGCTGGGCCGCGACGGAAGGAACACGCGTTCAATTTCGTGTTCGCATTCAACTAAATAACCGGCAGGAAAAAGGTGTTGGAAGAATAAATCGCTGGTGTTGTGGTAACGTATAATACAGTTCGGGAAATATTCAAGTGAAATGGTAGCAACCTCCACGAGGTATAGGGCTGACTCAAACTCCGATGTATAGTGTCCGAGAGCACGAAATGGTAGCTGGGAGAAATCATCAAGTTTCACTTCCACGAGTCGGTGCAAGCAAACACTACTTAACCCCATACCAAGGTATCGAGACATTTCTTCACACCGTGAACCGCGTCAAGAGGATCCGGAGATTAACGATCTCCTACCTCTACCAAATAGTGCATGCTGACACCACATGGCAACAACCAAGGAACGGCAAGATCTCAACGATTCTCATAGTCATCATAGAATCATTATAGTGTAGTTGTAAATAAAGCGCAATAAACAAGCGCGAAAAGCTGATGTGTTGAATATTTAATTGAAGCGCTACTCCATCCACTTATCAACACTTTTTTTCCACCACCACACCAGTAAATTGGTGGACATTGTCTATTTTTCAACAAAGTTATTCATAAGTTTTCTTGACAAGTTTAGAAACATTGTCTTTAGCTTCATCCAGAATATACATATTTATTGTAGGAAGAAAATCATCGATATCATTATTAGCCTTTGTCGTTAGATGCGTCGATTATTTTGAGCAATAAATTATAATTGCAAAGTAGAAACAAGGTATTGAATGGAATTTAAGTATTCCTATTGTATTAACAAAGTATAATAAGAAAATAATATGCATATATATATTAGACTGTAATGGACACAATTTGATGAAATTCGAAAGAAATAGGAAATCCCTCGATCAAGTTTTTGTATATTATTTGTTACTGCCTTGAATGGTAAATGGTAATTACAACCTAATATTTTATTCTTAATTTTATTAATATATGGGGTATAAAAATAAATCAGAGTATTTAATAGAAAATCATAGCCGATATTGATATATTTTTTATATATTTATAAAATATATTGATATATTTTATTATATATATTTTTTATTATCGATATATTTTTTTTTCTATAGGATTTGTTTGGATTCTTATAAAGAAGTTATTTGCACCCAAGGAAAATGTAATCATGGCATTGTCAGATCATTGCCAGATTCCAGACTTATATAGCAGTAATGTTTAAGTTATTTATTAATTATTCGAAAAAATTTGGTTATTATTTAAATAGTATTAATATTTATTAAATTTATTCTAAAGTATTAACCTTAACTACAACAGCTTTAATAATAATAAGTAATACGATATCGTATTTTTGCCGGGTAAATAATATTCGATTAATTTTGTTGATATTTCGTTGTATCAAATATTTTATGATTTCTTTTTTATATTATCTTTTATGAATTATTTTTATTAATACTCTAATATTATGTAGCATTGGTTTTTATAGAAAACTGATACTTGATACTGATACAAAGGCATCTTAAAAACTAATATATGTTAAATTATTTTGATCGCTACATATACGAAGATGTAGATAATCGGATAAGTCGTTTGCTTGTAAAATATAATTAAAACAATAATAATTTCGAATTAATTAAACAAGTATTTTTAATGTTATTTTAAATGATATGATAGAGTACTTACGCCATGCGCGGATCCATAAGGATTCATAGCACCAGGTTCTCCCTTTTCTCCTTTTGCACCGACACTTCCAGGGATTCCTGGCGTGCCAGGTCGACCCTACCAATATTAATTCAAATGAACATGTAAATAATAAACGAAATTTTACATTAAAATTATATAATGAAATATTAATCCTATTACTGTAATTCAATTTTTATTTACAAATGGCAAAAAAAATTAATCAACTCAATTATTTAAAAAATATTAAAAAAAACAATAAAAATAAATATATTCTTTGTTTGAATAAATCTGATAATACATAATTCTAATAATACATTGAGACAGAAGTAATAAAATCAAAGTAGACAAATTAAGAATATCTCATCTCATTATATTGCAAATTTATATTTATTTAATTTACATTTGAAAACTTACCTTAATAGCATTCTTGAGTTGGCATGAAATTCAATAAAACTTGATGTAAGTATAAAAAACAGAATACATTGTACAGTACATAGACTATAGCTTCCAATAGATTCCAAGATTACAAAAGTTTAATTTACAGAAAGATTCTTGAAAAGATAGTAAAGTATTTTATATATACGCTATGAAGGAATTATTATCTTAAAAACGACTTTAGTTTATTTATTAGGAGCATTATTAATTTCTTATTATTCATACTATAATTTTAATAATATTTAGAAAACAATACTTTATACAATAATTTTCTACATAACTAGGTTATTCGCATAAAATATTTAAAAATCGAAACTGTTAAATATTCTTAAAATTACTGTCGCAAACTTTATTTTGCATTTTCCTAGTGCAATACATCATATATGTACGTACATTGTATATTCATGTAAATATTCATATCAATGATGTAACATGTAAAATCGGTTTCCTTGTAATTAAAATATTATCGCAAAAAAATCTGCATGCGTCGGACATTAGATCAATTTACAATTACACCAATAATTTCACAGTGTCCATACTATTATAGTGCACTTATACAATATATTCGTCTTCAACCCATATGGTTTCGGATGGAATAAAAAAAATCGTCGATATATCTCACCATGTATCCAGGAAGACCGATATCGCCATTAATTCCTGGTTTTCCAGGCGGACCTGCGGGTCCCGTTGGTCCAGTTTTGCCCCTTCGTCCACGTTTTCCTTCCGCACCCTTTTCGCCCTTGATAGCGACGTACTCGCCGGAGCCGGCGATCGCCGTCATACCAGGAGGTCCGCGTTCACCGCGTTCGCCCTTCGCACCAGGTATGCCCGGAAAGCCCGAAATACCATCCTTGCCTATTGTATTTTTAATTAGTTTTGGATCAATAATTGTTTTGAAGTCTTATTATTTATGATATGAAGTGGAAAGACAAATTTAAGCTGTATTTAAATTAAGTTGTGACAATTGCTTTTATATGCTATACTTAATTTGCATTTCAATTAAATATATTTTGAAATGCTTTTTATAATGAATTGATACGGTTATTATAATATGTATTATCTACAGAAATAAAACGATCCTTACCACGGATACGATTTTAGTATCTTACACCTCGTTTAAAATGTTTGTAGTGAAAATACATTGTAATTTACAAAGTATGCAAATTTATATATGATTTATTATATTATAACATTTTGCTATCAATATGCACAATTAATCATTACGATGAAAATAATGTAAAGTATATATATATTCATACCAGGCTCGCCTTTATCTCCTTGCGGTCCTTGAACGCCATTTACACCAGGAACACCGGCCGGTCCCCCATTACCTTTATCGCCTTTCTCGCCTTTCAAGCCAACTTCGCCCTTATATCCACGTTCGCCGTGTTCACCCTTTGCGCCTTTTATTCCAGAACCTAATAAAAATTGTATAATAAAAATCACACTCGTGTATTTATTTCATGCTTAAAAATAAAAAGAAATCGGAAATTATATTTCTCAAGACATTGCATAATTTGCAAAATTAATTCCATAATTTCAAATTTTATTTCTAAGTAAATTTATAAAATGTAAATTTTTTAATTTGAACGTCATACTTCAATTTATTCTAAAACAGAATTTTTTTTCATTACATTTTGAACCTTTAGTAATTTTATAAATAAATGTAAATTCGTTGGACATTTCTTTATAAAAACTCTCTTTCACTATCTCTTTCTCTGTGTGTATGTGTCTGTCTGTCTGTCTGTCTGTCTGTCTGTCTGTCTCTCTCTCTCTCTCTCTCTCTCTCTCTCTCTCTGTGTATATTAATATTTATATAAATTGAAATTATAAGTATTGACTGTTTTTATTTTTAACATATATTTAAAAATGTAACATTTATAACTATTAATATATAAGTTAAAATTTGAAAATAGATTTTGCTGAATTTTCTAATTCTATATATATATATATATATATATATATATATATAGATATTCTTATTATTATATATATAAGATATGTATATAAGATAAGATAAGATATATATGTCTTATATAAATAAAAGAGATCATTAAAGAATTTGGGTAATCGTAAAATCTACATTTTTATATTTTTTAAATGAAAAATTTTTTCTCTGTATATTGTTGTTAAATTTATGGAGAATTTTTTCAAATTATTGATTAATACACAGAAAAATGAAAATAACATACGTATACTTTACTTGCAAATATAAACTTGAAATGAATTTTTTTTTTAACTTCAAATACAGCTTTAGATTAATTTTAAAAAATATATAAATGATTAACACGTGTGTCATTATAAGAGCAAACGCGCTAAAAATTTGTCATAACTTAAGTTTTAATATCGAAAATTCATAAATTACAAATTTCGAAAGACAAGGTTATTTTTAACAAAAAATACGATTTTTCGTAACTGATTTTATAATTTGTGCTACCTGACATAAAAATTAAATTATAGAATTATTTACAACAATAATTAACTGCATATTTAAATATTTAAATATTGAATCTATATACATATAACATTCACACATATTTTTAAAATTACATTATAACAATATAAATTACATAAAAATATAAGACTGCATTCATTTTCTTTAATTTTTTGTAAAATTGAGTTTAAACATTTTTTTGTTTTTCTTTTCCCTTCTGAATAGAAATAAGATAGTAATTTATTTATACAAAGTCACTGTGCTTAGATTTCCTCGGGGAAAGATTGAGATTTAAAAAATGTTATAAAAAAAAAAAAATATTAAGAAAAGACATAATTTTGAACTTTGTGCAATAAAGCTTATTCCCCGAGCTGACTTAAGCATTATTTCTTCATTCATGAATACATTTACATCCCAAGTCTTCAGAATTGATACATCTAAGTCTAATCGTGTCTTTACATTATTATTTATGCCTCATGTTTCTAGTTGTTTTGCTTTAAAATAAAACTGAAATACAATTGTCAATAATTAGTTGAATAAATCGAAAAAGAAAACGAGATGATAAAGTAGTACTATAACGAACATCCGAGGGTTCTACTCACCATTATCGCCAACATTGATACCACCGACTCCTGGCGAACCAGGAGGTCCGGCAGGTCCAGTCTTGCCCTCGGGGCCCGTATCTCCCTTAGCGCCCTTATCGCCAGTGCGCCCGACATTACCGACGGCTCCGGGGAGTCCCGGAACTCCAGGTGCCCCAGGTTCGCCTTTCGAGCCCTGATGACCACGTGGCCCTTCCTTCCCGTGGTCGCCCTTCATGCCCCTGTGGCCCATGTCGCCCTTTGTACCTTTCGCGCCGTGCACTCCCGCTTCACCTGAGTTGCAAAATTTTATTGTTTCCCCATAATCGTCACTACTGTTCAATTTTTTTACTACACTCATGTGCCTACGTACAATTAGACTATAATTGGTAAATTTTTATTTGAATTGGCCAATAGGTTCTTAATCGAATCAAATGGTAACATTACAGATTATAGAAATTTCTACGCACTAAATATTTTATACTTGTAATAATTATCGTTAACAAGATGAAATTGACCATACATTAATAAAAATGATTTTTAAATAGATTTTTTAATTTGACTATTCCGCTAAATTTACACGAATATAAAAAATTGATTTAATAAGATTTAGAAATTTTAATACTAATAAAATTGCATTTAAATAATTCATGAGATATGAACTACTCTCAGTGTGACATGGGAGAAGAGATTTTACAGGCTGTTCATTGTAATTTCAACATGAATTTAGAATTTCAAAATTGAATATATACACGTTAAGTTTTTACTTGCATGTTCTCCAAATACACAGTGTATAGTGTTTGTGTTATTAAAATGAATGGATTTCTAAGTGATTGAATTAAGCAGAATATGAATAAAGTTTAACATTTGATTAATGTTTAAATCAAATACCTACTATTTATGTACATAAATTTAGGATGTACTACATTTGGCACATTATTATAATATTATTTTAAAGTTCGACGTCTCTGCCAGTTTAATCCAATAAATTTCAGAATGTAACTAGCATAAATTGTTTTTAAATATTATGAAAATTTTTCTTACGTTTTTATAAATCATGCATTATTTAATTACTTCACCCACGTGTAGCGTATTATGTATTATCAAAAGTAAATAAAATAATTTATGGTATTTTTTCAATATCCGTAAATTTTATGATGTACAATAATATTTTTTAATAAGATAAAAATAAATTTTACATGCATTTAGCCTCGTATAGCTAGTCTCCGCATACATGTAAATATACAAGATTATAATACAAAATAAACTCGACACAATCAATTATTTTATACATTTAAAAATTGTTATTCTCATTGCATTCACAAATATTGTCAATTGAATATATAAATTCTTCATTTTTTATTCAATAAAAAGTAACTAAAAATTTTTTCTCAATTTTATAAAAAAAAAAAAAAAAAAAAAAAAAATTTTAATATTATTTTATCAAACGCTTAATCAATTAAAAGCAATAATAAGCTATAATAATTATTTTCTCAGCAATATAATTTTAAAAAGAATATATATTAATGAATAAATTATACAAATTTACCTTTAGGACCAGGGTGACCCTGTTTTCCATCATCTCCTTTCTGTCCCGGAAGTCCTGGTCTCATTGTATAACCTTCAGTCTATCAATAAAAACTTCAGCGTCAATATATAATAATTATTTTGTAAGGTATATTAATTTAATTATGAAACAATTTTGATAACAATGGCAGATCTATAAAACTTTCCTATTATTTCAAAAAGAATTTAAGGTGCCTTATTATTAGTTTATAAAAATGTTTAATTCATGACAACGTATCACTTTACATGTTGCATTTAATTCATACTATAGTAGTTCAAATGTGACAGCTTAAAATCATATAGGAATCATATTTATCCACAGCATACATAATTTACGGCATCTATAATTGATCTTTTACTCCATTAAATATGTAAGAAAAATGATAATGATAATGATAATAATGACGAGTATAAGTACGAATAGATGTTTTGACGAAAATCCTCTGCTCATAATCTCATAAAGCCAATGAAAACTTAAAAAATTAACAAATTATCGTACAAAATAACAATATTTTTTATCTTTTCATTTATTCATCAACTTATTCAACAAGCAATCCCGCTCATTGTCGCAAACTTTTTTAAAACAACAGAATGAAAAACGGATGGCTAGAAGAAAACAAGGGACAAAACTTAATCTTCTATTTAATTTAGAGATAAGCAGATAATCTCGGCCTTGTCGCGAAATACTCTGTGGTTTTCCGTTAAAAGAAACGGAGCGTGCAGAAACTTTCTTAGTTGGTTTAGTCTGTATCGGCTGTTTGAAACCTCACTCACCCTGTAGATCGCTCGAGGCTTCCAGCTGGGCTGCATGCGCATAATAGCAGAAATTTCAGTGTATTTAATTATAGATACAAAGGCTACATTTTTATAATTCGCATGCACAGCTTTACGTATAAATTAATGGTTGAGCAAAAAAAAAGTTCTTGTCGAGTGTATGGTTACTTTAAAAATCAAATTGATTACTTTTGAGATTTAACTTGATCAAATTGATTACTTTTGATTTAAAGAACCAAGTATCGATACAAGTGGTATTGTGTGCATCTATTGCGTTATTATCCAAGTTCGATTATCGATAGAAGAAGTATCGTTATATATTGTTCTGCGCTACAATATTTCATATACAATTCATATATGAAATTGTAATTTACAGTAATTTAGAGTACGGTATGGAGTATGGTTTATGACATAAAAACAGTAGAAAATCGAAATAGAAGCACATATATCATTATTTGTTTAACCGTAAATTTTATACAAGAAATGAATTTTAATGAATTATATATGTAAAAAGAATATTAATATGCTGGCAAATAGAATTAATGCAAAAAATAATAAAGCAAAATCTTCTGATTCTTTATTCTACATAGAATTTTATTTACCATCATAGTACTATTTTCTAAAAATTTTGTTTTGAATTCACGTACAATAGAGTAATTAGTAGTTAGAATATGTTACTGCACGTATCTATTATTTTTATTAAAAATATTAGTCAATGTGTACATTGTGTAGCTATTATTTTCTGGCCAATCGATCGTTCAAATTTCAAATCCTTTAATCAACTTCTGGGCAACATTTTGCTTACACCACAAAATAATTTATTCATAAAATCATAAATTTCCAAAATACAAATAAATTTATCAACAATATTAGCTTATAGTATTAGAGAGAAATTGATAACGATATGTAATTAATTTATTATTTTAGCCCCTAATTTCTGATGATTCATTTAAGATAATAATTAGAAAACAATTCTAACTTTAATTGTTTAGAAAAATAGTTATTGAAGTATTTTCTATATGTTAAAATTTAGTAATTTAAAATTAAACGATACATTTTTTATTTTATGTAGCAATCTTTTGTTATCTGAAACATTACTCTGGATATATTTAATATTTTGATAAATAAATTAACATTATATATAGCTCCATTTGACAAATGTCAGTTTAAATTTTCAATGATATTCACAACATACTTGTCAATTAAAGAGGTTGAATTATTTCTTTTAGCATACTAACATATATGTGAAAACTGTATTAATTTATCTCTAACATTTAAAATATTATCTTATCTTTAGACAAATGTTAATTTGTCAATCAATTCCAGGTGTTAAAATGTTAAAATATATATTCTAGGTGTCATGTTTAAAAATACAGCATTCATTAGATCAATAATTGAAATCATTGAATGTATTCATCATAATTGTTGACATTGTTTAAATTCAAAAATATTTGTGAAAAAATTGTATATTTTTTTAGTTTTCAATGATTAAAAATAATATTGGCATTTTTTGCTGATTTTTTAATTGAATGATATTCAAAAATTTAGAACATAATCATATAAAGTAACAAAATAATTAAGCAACATAAAGAATCTTATTGCTAAGGAGATATAACTCTGTTTTTAACGTTTTAACATTAAAATTTCTCGATACAATCTACGAATAAATAGGTGATTTATTAAGTAATTTTTAAAAAATGAGAAGGAATATAAATATTTAAAAGTCATGTTTTTTGTTTAAATAAATATAATCAAATTAAAATTTTATTATATTATTATCATGTATTTATGGTCAGAATATTATATGATAATTTTTTAGAGCTTTTTCATTTTTATTTAATATTAATCAATGCTCAAAGAATATAAAAGTTTGTAAAACTTGGAATTCCTTCAACTACTGATAATAAAAAACTTAAAATTCAGTTTTACTTTAAAATATTGAGTATTATAAATTTTTGCAGGGAAATATATCAACTTTGTGTTGATATGAATTTTTAACATTCATAGCTTTGACAAAGTAAAGGAATTAGTAATGTTTGGAGATATAAATAAATACTTTGGGAATGTTTCAATAATTTCATGAAATATATTTTCAACTTAGCTTATGAATTTTTTATTTAAATGCAATAAAAAATTTGATAGTATCAAGAGTCATTATGTATTTACAAATACCTTTATAGCTCTTTTCTACAACTAAAAAACTAAAAAAAATTAATTTTTTAAATTATAATAAAAATTATATAATTATTATAATATAATAAATAATAATTAATTATATAATAAACAATAACATAATTTTAATATTTCAAGTTTTTCAAAAATATTATATGAACATTTATTTATATGAAATTATAAATATTATCATTGATATTCATTATTATAATATATTTTTCATACTAAAAATATGTCAATTTTGAGATTTAATCAGTGCCTATCATTCATTATTCAATCGTCCATTGTGTATGTGTAATTAAATATTTCGCGATATTTACTGTATTTATGTATCAGAGGAAGAGCAAAAGAGAGAAGAAAGAGAAGAATAAATTTATAGGATAAAACAAAATATTATAGGAAAGGATTATATGAAGGAGTCAAAGAGAGTGTAATGGTAGTTGTGTGCGTGAGTGTATGTGTGTGTGAGTGAGGGAGAGAGAGAGAGAGAGAGAGAGAGAGAGAGAGAGAGAGAGTAAGAGAGAAAAGTGAGGTGCAGAGGAAAACTTATCGCGTGGCTCACGTTTAACTAATTAGTAATCGCCATCATTTCCTTTGAGAATTTGAGCGACATAACATGCATAACGTCAAAATATGTAAGTCGTGTATGCTGGCGGAAAAAGGTCCAAACACCGCAAATGCACAGCTCAATGGAATTGTTTGCACTCGCGTTAACTCACCTTTCGTATTAAATGAGCTAGTTTACTTACCAACTTCAATCTTTACTTCATAATCAACTATATGATTAAAATTGTAAGTCGAACACTTTAGCAATTCTCATAGAAATGGAGAATATTGTTATAGAATTATTATTAAATATAGATGGTTATTTAAAGGTATTTTGAAATTCATGTTCTGCTTGAAGTTTTCGAATAATTCAAGTTAGCAGGAAATAGGATCATCTTAAGTACGTAGAGTATTCTTTTTATAAAAAGAATTATTCGCAATAATATATGAATATGCTATATCAGTCGTCTTATCAATTAGAGAAATAATTTAAAATAATATTTTATTAATATGGCCACATAAAGGCAGATACGTAATTTTAACATTGTATGAAAAATTGAGAAATAAAAACAAACAATGTCACATTAGGACAATAATTAAAATGGAAATATTTTATATTATGATCTATAAAACCAGGATAGGTAGAAACTATCACAGATTTCCAATGATTGGATTTCCACTATCGTTTGGTAGGGAAAATAAATTGCACGAGTTGTAAATCTGCTTTAACAAATCATAGATTAACAAAAACAAAAAGATAAAATTACTCTTACAAGATGCACGAGATTTATACATCAGAAATAGCGATCGGAAATTGATCGAATTTGATTTTTCATTTAGGTAAATCGTAACAGAATTTAAAATTTGAATATGTGAACATAAATTTAACAAACCTTTAAATTACCATTTCATACTATATTAAAAATACCTATGATTTGTAAGAAATGTTTCAATTATGCTTTAAAATGACGAATAAATTTAACCAACAAATAAAATTATTTACCTTTATAATATATACTATGATTATCTACAATTTTTTAACATAGAATTCTTGGAAATCCTTTTGCCATTAGAACGAATTGTACACTCATTTCTTTTAATTGTCTTTATATTGCAATAGCAGCATCAAATAATAAATCAGTACGACGTAAAAATAAATTTATCAACATATAAAAATATTCGAAAAAATCAAGCAATGTCTTACCTTTCATTACATTTCATATTTGCTTTATGTAAACATTACTTTAACAAGCATAGACTATATAGATTTAAAACAGAGTATATATTTGTAATAATTTCTGTAAAGTTAATATCAATTAAAAGACATTATATTACTAATCATTTTACTTATAAAGTATTACTCTTTATGCTACAATCTATATTCTCAGCACAGACAACATAAACAACAAAAATTTTATAAAACCATAGCAAAGTGTATGTTCATTTGTGTATTAATCCGGCTTAAGGGAGCAGTTATTGGCCATTCAATGAAGCCTCTCACTCTTGTATTGGTATATAGACGATAGGCTGTGGCTTTAAGGTACGCACATTCAATTAATAGCGTTAACAATTTGAAAAACAATTATGCAAATTATTAGGCTTAGTCGGTAATGATTCTTACCAGAACACCCCAATTAAACGACGAATTTAATTAATAAAAGCTTTAACCACACCTGCCACTGCCAATATCTTCAGCGACTAAAGCGATCTACGTTTGCAATATAATATTTAAATCTCTCCTACTATAGTATGGATCCTAGGATATCAATATTCTCGTTTAGAATCACCTGTTCGGTAATATGAATTATTTACTCGGGAGAATAGGTGCTGTAATATTCTTCATTTCTGGTATGGTATAATCAAACATACATACGAAGCTTTTTAATAGATAGCCATACAATTCTCTCCATAATAAGTTTTATAGTAGCTCATTTGCTTGGATTCATGAATCCGAAGAGCTGGACAAATATCTTTCGCTATACGGTCAGGAAATAAAGTTAGCTATTAGCTATTGAATGATCACAATTAATAATTATTTGAAATAGTTAACATAATATCCGGTTCATTTCAAATTTTATTTTTAAAGCCATAGAGTTTTCGATGCTTGTATTATATTTTTATGAAAGTGTTTAATTAATAATATTAATATTTGACCCTTTCTTACATTTATAATTGACGTCTACGCTTTTTTTTTATTTGACTCTATACTTTAAAAGGATTTTTAAATTATTCTAAAAAAAAACAAAAATCATTCAGTTTAAGAATTTAGAAAGAGCTAGTTAACATATGTGAATTATTTTAGTAATTTAGTA